GACTCTACCCTGTAGCTTTACTGCACCAACATTTCCATACTCTACAAGTTTTTGTTTGTTCTTTTTTACTTATTGTCTGCAGTTCTATAAATTACATAAATGTTCGCTTGAATGAAAATGCAACATGAAAACAACTAAGATTATGAAACAATGAAGGAAAACTATTTTGTTGTGGTGCAAAATAATCGTGATTTTCACAATATTGTAATTCCTGATTGGCCTATGGTTTATTTCACTGTGGGACATAGTTAAGGTTGAGAATTGATAAGATTTTCATGATTCCGATTCCCTTATCGATTCTGTGAAACGATGAACTTTGTAAGTGCACGGTGACATTCGTCTACCTTTGCCTGGGGCATTCTATTTCTGCCTTCCTCTGCGAAAACGGAACGCAGTGAATGGGAGCTGTCAGCCTCTGAGCCAGCCAGGCTACCCGTCTCGTCATAATCATCTAAATCTAATGGAGAAGGCATCCGTTTAATGAAAAAGCATTTTTGTACAATTTGGGAAATAAACTCATCTTCCCCTGGTTTAGATAAACAAGCGTCACCTTTCTCTCGCTTCCTGAACTGCGGAGCAACTTCATAGCATGTTTAATAACCCCAAAGAGGAGTAAGAAACTGGTTTATTTCCAGAAATGGCAAATGATTTACTAGGAGCCACATTAAGCACAGCCAGTGATATAAAACTAGCTACTTACTAGGGTTGTAAATAATAATCGTTTTGTATCGATGCATCAATCCAACAGCCGACGATCCGATTCATTGACACGTCCGCAAGAGTATCGATTCGTGTTTGTTTTTTTTTGTCCTCCGGTCTATTTTTATCCATTTACTCCTGAATGTTATTCTCCCTCCTGTGCTGCGGTGGCGCTAAACCAATTTTGCCCTCCTACCTCGCTTCCTGGTTATACTCCTGCAGCAGTGTGTCACAGTGAGCTTGACATAGACGTTTTAGATTTATGCCCAATATTGAAGCGTGGTCTGTGCTACACGCTGTGGGTCTAGATACGGCCGAGGCGGAGAGGAAGTGGGGGCGAGTTTAGTCCAGGTGGAAAAAGGGTCCCAGCGTTCTCGCGCACCTCGCTCTTCTAGCGGGTCAAACTTCATTTATTGTTTTCCGAAATTTCAGTGACAAACAAAATAAGCTGGCATCCTTTCTGTTGCACTGCGATAAGCTGGCATCCTTTCTGTTGCACTGCGGTCAGCTACAATTTGGGAGAGGTGCAGGGGAGTGTTTGAGGAGGGGGCGGGGACGTTGACACTCTGGAGCACAGGTATTGAATTGCACTCATTGCACTGATTTTGTGCAGTATTTTTTGATGCAAAGCCTTTCAAAATCTATAACGCACCTGGAATCAATAAGAGAATCATTAAGCAAGCTGCCAAAGGGTGCCATGGGATTGCAACACACGGAACCGGTTCTGAACAAGAACCGGTTTTCGATTCCCTATACTAGACATAGATCATAGATGTCAATTTGCTGTTTTTTTTTTTTTATTTAAGGGAAAATCTTTCCTTCCTTTAACCTGCTAAACTGTCTGGAAGCTTTCCTTTCAGTTAGCAGCAGGTGGGGAAGGAGAAGTGCGTTTTTTCTCTGTTCTTTATAGCTGTATAAACCTCTTGCAGCTCTCTAAGGCACATTTAAAGCAGCATTTCTTTAAGTTCTTGCCAAACTGTCCACTATTTACTGAGAAGATGATCACAAATTAAAATCTATTCATGATTTATGGCATGAGTTTATTGAATTGTGGTACTTCAGAGCTATTTTATTATGTGATTTGTTAACTGTGTTTACTTTCCATGGAAAACAAAATTTAACCTTTCACCGAACCATCATTATTGGGCTCAGATGGGGAAGTGAAAATGATCCTAATGTACTTCAGAATCTAAAGAAATAACTGAAGAGGATATGTTTAAAATCAGGACACTAAATTTAGGCTTTTTTTTATTTCAAATAGAGAAGTTAAACTGATTTCAAAACATGCAGCAGACATAACGTTATTGTTAAGGTGGTGAAGTTTAGTAGAAGCAGAAACTTTACTGTTATAATCATTTGCTGAGCAGCTGTGGAATTAAGTCAGGAGGTTTTTAATTGGTGCATTAAAAATTGTTTTTTTGTTGGAGACTTATTGTTTAAATTACAATTTTCTTGGGACAATTGAAAATAATCTTTTTAGGGGAGACGGGAAAACATTTGACAATGACAAAAATCTCATCAGACCATCCTCTATAAGAATACTGTAACTTGGAAGAAAAAGGAAAAATAACCTGGGAAGAAGAATTGTAGCTCAAAATGATGATGATTTTGTCTTAAACCTCATATTGATTTTATCAACATAATCATCGTGGGATGACACTTTGAAAATTTTATCAACACGAGGTTGTTTATATTAGATTTGATTTAAGCTGCTGGAAGAATCCATCAATCAGTGCCCTTCAACAAACTGGGTCCAAAGCTAGCATCACTATCATCCCGGCTCAAAGGGAAACATGTAAAATGTGCCTCTATTTTATTCAGTTTCTGGCTGTTATTCCATAGTGGTTACTTACACCTCTCCTCACCAGAAGATATAGATCTTTAGGACTCACATGGCCAGACCCTCATGTTTGCAGCATGTGTTTGTCAGGAGGACGTTTAAACCTTGTGCTAAAACAACGAGAAATTATATAGCCATTTGTTACCTAATGGATCCTTGTTTTCATATTTGGTTTCAAATTTTCAAAACTGACCATTTCCAGTTTCTTGTTTTTATTTTTTTGCAATATTTTTTTTGTAAACTACGCAGTCTCACAAATTCAATTCTATTCAGTTTATTTATATAGCGCCAATTTACATCTCAAGGCATTTTACAGTTCACCAGGTCTTACAGTCAAATTGATTCAAAGATTTCAAATTGAACTAAGTCTAATTATATTTGTTGTTATTGATCTAGTTTCAAACAGAATCTGTTGCATTTCTTGGGAATTTCAGAGAAATAATTTATTAACTTTCTATCCTGTGGAATTAGTGCTTTATCTAAAGTTATGTAAAGCATCTTGGTTCGCCTGTGGAAAACTGAGAAGTCACACGGCCTCCCTGACAACCACTGAGTCCCTGAAGAAGAAAAAAGGAAAAGGTTTGAGCAGTTTGATGCTAAAGCTCTTGAATAGCTGGCGGGCATTCCTCAGCCTTGGAATGAGATAAGAATAGCACGCCTTGTCTCTTCTCTTGCACTTTGCTAGCTGGTGTGGCTGAGGCCTCGCCCTGCTGCGTTCCTGTGCGGCTGTTTGAGAAGTAAAGAGAGAAGCGGGTTCCTTTGGGTTCACCTTAGTGGTTTGGCCTCAGACGAATCTGACTCTGTTTGCATACACATCTGTTCTGCTCTGCAATTAGCCTGCTTCCTGTTTTAACACAGGATACGGTCCTGCTGTGAGGCTTCGCCTCTGATGCTCTCTGGAAGTGAAGTCGCCCCTTTTGACCAGCAGCAACAAAGATCTGAAACAATTACTTTCCATGATGGTCGTTAGCTGCTGCCCATTTAGGGTCTGGACCAAAACTGAAGTGGTTGTAGATGCTGTTTGTCGCCCTGTGAGCTGAGATCAGATATGATTAGTGTAAAAGTAGACAGAGACACTATTGCCCACGTTGCTGTCCTTATAGAATCCCTTCCTCCCTCATAAAGCATTGGAAAATCTGTGTCAGCTACTTCCTCCTCGTCTTTCTCCACCCTCCTGGTTTCAACTTCCTGTTTTTGGCACAAGCTGGAAGTAAGATGCTTTGAATGGGGGCCTGTGTGAGAGAATTGGTCGAGGTAACACTGCTGTTATTTACTGTGCTGCTGGCAGATTGTTGTTCTGTTTGGGAAATACAGATAAAAAAAAAAAAAAAAACCTAAAGAAAGCAGAATCCTTACTGACTTTCTTTATTGTGAGCGCTTCAGCTGGGTAAAAGTACATCTGACAGAGGCTGAGGGGGAAACTCCTGCCCTCAGCATTGCAGTCAGACCAAGCTTATTTACCTTACATCTGAAATAGGAAATCGTAACGCATCTTACCATTGCTTATGGTCATCAACTACAAGCTACAGATGCATCAAGACATTGACAAATCTGTTGCTGGATTAACTTAGACCAAATACCAGTTAATCAGACTCCAAAACCAGCCAAGCTGAGGAATAAAGAGCCGTGTTTTTAGAGACGCTTACCTAAAGTTAGATCCCAAACACTGGTTGATCGATTTAAAGCAAATCCACACTTCAAATAAACACTTTTTTCACAGTTGAACGGAGGGAAGTCAACTGCTGTAAGCTTATTACGACAAAATAAACTACAATCTCTTTATAAAGTTATTTTAATCTAACAGAAATGAACACTATCATCAATATATTCTTTATTAATAGCCTCTTAAATTGGATATTAATTCAGTTAATATCTAATATACCCCCCTAACGTTACACTGAGAAACACAGTAGGGCTGGATATCAATATATTCGATTCTGATTCTTATTTAATCTATTGTTCTTTTTTGATCTAATTCATTTCTAATCTATATTTTGGATAGCAGATGATGGTCATGAGTTAAGAATGATAATAGCACTCAGCACCAACAACAGACCCCACTGGTTTTCCTGTTGTGCCAGATAGGTGGCAACAATAAGGTGAATGCATATGCTTTGATAATCTGCAGCAGTATTTAGAGACAGTTTGAAGGCATCAGTCGTTAAAAAACATCCAAATGATTTTTTCTTAAACCTAAACCTCTTAGACCTTAAACCTATGAGTTTTATATCAGTTTAATTATTTTCTATATGGTCTTTTTTTCCCACCTTGGTTTTGAGACCCGCTGTTTATGTAGAAAGAAGGTCAGCAAGAAACTTAAACTTAATAAATGCAGACATCTCTTACCATTAGACATGATGGAGGATTTCATTTGACAGTAATTGAAATGCAGAGTTAGGGAACACAGAAATGCCTGTTTTGACTTTACATTGTTCCTGATGTTTAATGTTGTGTGTTGCAGCTCTGATGTTACTAGCTGAACAGTGACCACTGCCTGCCCAAGGACTCCTGCTTCCCAACTCCCCCTCATCATGTCTGGGATCCATGTAAGCCTCTCTTTCTCTTTTTTTTTTTAACAGCTTCCAACTATCTAATGGTGAATCAGAGCACTTTGAAAAGTGGCCTTAAAGTAGGTTTCTAGGCCTGTTTTAAGACACGGGTCAAAAGTCCGTGAACAGGATTACACGTAGAAACAATTTTATTTGTTAAAAAAAACCGGATGATTTAGTTCAACCTTTAAAGCATCTGACAAGATGACACATTTGGTTAAACCAAAGTTAAATAAGTCATCAGATGAGCGGAGGATGTGACCAACACTGACTGTTCATTAGACCAAATCCACACCATAGATCTGTGGAGATAGAAAAGCTTTTCTCTGCAGCAGTCACCCACATCTCTACTAAATAGGGTTAAGAATCATTTGAATTTCAAAGATTCAGGTGCTGATTCCTTGTTCTTCCGGTTTCTACTGGCTCTCTATTCTTATTCTTTTAAGACAAAAAGATCATAAAAGTCTACATGTTATAAATTAGTTGATTAATCAGAGCTCTGTCAGAATTAAAAGGTCTGAACTTCTCAATGAAGTTTAATTCTTGAACATCTTACTTTGTGTGTAAATCCCATTACTAAACATTGTTTCAACCAGTATATCCATATCAAACCTATGAACTCTAATATTATCTTGTTAATATTCTTTTCAAAAAGTTGCATTTTCACATGCAGATCTCTGTTTAAAAACCTATTACATATATCAGTGTCTGCCTCAGATATTTGTCGTATAAGATAACTTAATTATTTTATTTACCTGATTCTGAGTGTGGAAGCAGCGCAGCAGGAAGGAATCCTGACGGTTTATATTCTTAGAGATTTTTACTAAATCTCAGTTTCACAGATGTGGAAGTAGTGATGTTTTACAGTCATGGCAGATCGAGATTAAAGTGCTTTTCATTCTATGCAGAACACACAGGAAACAAGGTGGGCATCTGTTAAGATGTAAAGTAAGAAGAAGAAAGTATTAAGAAAAAAAGGCTCTGTTCTACCTTCAGAAGCTGCACTATGAATTTAAGGGAGGAGCAAATTCCTTGTTGAAACGTACCTTTACCACAGCGGTGCAGCAGGTTATAGATGGGTTAGGTGATGTTTAGGCCTGTTGGCTGTGTGTCGTCTTTTGCTTGTTATAATCCCAGGAAGCAGACGGGTCATTTTTTTATTAAACACTTTCAGATTCTGCAGCTGAAACGCACGTTTTAGCACACTCCGCTGTGGATTCCTTTTCCCTGATATAAGGCAGCTTCAGTTTCCAGTCAAGGGATCTGGCATCGAAACTAGGANTGTAAATAATAATCGTTTTGTATCGATGCATCGATCCAACAGCCGACGATCCGATGCATCGACACGTCCGCAAGATAATCGATTCGTGTTTTTTTTTTTTTGTCCTCTATTTTTATCCATTTGCTCCTGGGCGTAATTCTCCCTCCCGTGCTGCGGTGGCGCTAAACCAATTCAGCCTCCTACCTCGCTTCCTGGTTATACTCCTGCAGCAGTGTGTCACAGTGAGCTTGACATAGACGTTTAAGATTTATGCCCAATATTGAAGCGTGGTCTGTGCTACACGCTGTGGGTCTAGATACGGCCGAGGCGGAGAGGAAGTGGGGGCGAGTTTAGTCAGACGACGGAGGGACATGAGGGCAATAAAAAGCAGGGATCCAGGTGGAAAAAGGGTCCCAGCGTTCTCGCGCACCTCGCTCTTCTAGCGGGTCAAACTTCATTTATTGTTTTCCGAAATTTCAGTGACAAACAAAATAAGCTGGCATCCTTTCTGTTGCACTGCGATAAGCTGGCATCCTTTCTGTTGCACTGCGGTCAGCTACAATTTGGGAGAGGTGCAGGGGAGTGTTTGAGGAGGGGGCGGGGACGTTGACACTCTGGAGCACAGGTATTGAATTGCACTCATTGCACTGATTTTGTGCAGTATTTTTTGATGCAAAGCCTTTCAAAATCTATAACGCACCTGGAATCAATAAGAGAATCATTAAGCAAGCTGCCAAAGGGTGCCATGGGATTGCAACACACGGAACCGGTTCTGAACAAGAACCGGTTTTCGATTCCCTATACTAGACATAGATCATAGATGTCAATTTGCTGTTTTTTTTTTTTTATTTAAGGGAAAATCTTTCCTTCCTTTAACCTGCTAAACTGTCTGGAAGCTTTCCTTTCAGTTAGCAGCAGGTGGGGAAGGAGAAGTGCGTTTTTTCTCTGTTCTTTATAGCTGTATAAACCTCTTGCAGCTCTCTAAGGCACATTTAAAGCAGCATTTCTTTAAGTTCTTGCCAAACTGTCCACTATTTACTGAGAAGATGATCACAAATTAAAATCTATTCATGATTTATGGCATGAGTTTATTGAATTGTGGTACTTCAGAGCTATTTTATTATGTGATTTGTTAACTGTGTTTACTTTCCATGGAAAACAAAATTTAACCTTTCACCGAACCATCATTATTGGGCTCAGATGGGGAAGTGAAAATGATCCTAATGTACTTCAGAATCTAAAGAAATAACTGAAGAGGATATGTTTAAAATCAGGACACTAAATTTAGGCTTTTTTTTATTTCAAATAGAGAAGTTAAACTGATTTCAAAACATGCAGCAGACATAACGTTATTGTTAAGGTGGTGAAGTTTAGTAGAAGCAGAAACTTTACTGTTATAATCATTTGCTGAGCAGCTGTGGAATTAAGTCAGGAGGTTTTTAATTGGTGCATTAAAAATTGTTTTTTTGTTGGAGACTTATTGTTTAAATTACAATTTTCTTGGGACAATTGAAAATAATCTTTTTAGGGGAGACGGGAAAACATTTGACAATGACAAAAATCTCATCAGACCATCCTCTATAAGAATACTGTAACTTGGAAGAAAAAGGAAAAATAACCTGGGAAGAAGAATTGTAGCTCAAAATGATGATGATTTTGTCTTAAACCTCATATTGATTTTATCAACATAATCATCGTGGGATGACACTTTGAAAATTTTATCAACACGAGGTTGTTTATATTAGATTTGATTTAAGCTGCTGGAAGAATCCATCAATCAGTGCCCTTCAACAAACTGGGTCCAAAGCTAGCATCACTATCATCCCGGCTCAAAGGGAAACATGTAAAATGTGCCTCTATTTTATTCAGTTTCTGGCTGTTATTCCATAGTGGTTACTTACACCTCTCCTCACCAGAAGATATAGATCTTTAGGACTCACATGGCCAGACCCTCATGTTTGCAGCATGTGTTTGTCAGGAGGACGTTTAAACCTTGTGCTAAAACAACGAGAAATTATATAGCCATTTGTTACCTAATGGATCCTTGTTTTCATATTTGGTTTCAAATTTTCAAAACTGACCATTTCCAGTTTCTTGTTTTTATTTTTTTGCAATATTTTTTTTGTAAACTACGCAGTCTCACAAATTCAATTCTATTCAGTTTATTTATATAGCGCCAATTTACATCTCAAGGCATTTTACAGTTCACCAGGTCTTACAGTCAAATTGATTCAAAGATTTCAAATTGAACTAAGTCTAATTATATTTGTTGTAATTGATCTAGTTTCAAACAGAATCTGTTGCATTTCTTGGGAATTTCAGAGAAATAATTTATTAACTTTCTATCCTGTGGAATTAGTGCTTTATCTAAAGTTATGTAAAGCATCTTGGTTCGCCTGTGGAAAACTGAGAAGTCACACGGCCTCCCTGACAACCACTGAGTCCCTGAAGAAGAAAAAAGGAAAAGGTTTGAGCAGTTTGATGCTAAAGCTCTTGAATAGCTGGCGGGCATTCCTCAGCCTTGGAATGAGATAAGAATAGCACGCCTTGTCTCTTCTCTTGCACTTTGCTAGCTGGTGTGGCTGAGGCCTCGCCCTGCTGCGTTCCTGTGCGGCTGTTTGAGAAGTAAAGAGAGAAGCGGGTTCCTTTGGGTTCACCTTAGTGGTTTGGCCTCAGACGAATCTGACTCTGTTTGCATACACATCTGTTCTGCTCTGCAATTAGCCTGCTTCCTGTTTTAACACAGGATACGGTCCTGCTGTGAGGCTTCGCCTCTGATGCTCTCTGGAAGTGAAGTCGCCCCTTTTGACCAGCAGCAACAAAGATCTGAAACAATTACTTTCCATGATGGTCGTTAGCTGCTGCCCATTTAGGGTCTGGACCAAAACTGAAGTGGTTGTAGATGCTGTTTGTCGCCCTGTGAGCTGAGATCAGATATGATTAGTGTAAAAGTAGACAGAGACACTATTGCCCACGTTGCTGTCCTTATAGAATCCCTTCCTCCCTCATAAAGCATTGGAAAATCTGTGTCAGCTACTTCCTCCTCGTCTTTCTCCACCCTCCTGGTTTCAACTTCCTGTTTTTGGCACAAGCTGGAAGTAAGATGCTTTGAATGGGGGCCTGTGTGAGAGAATTGGTCGAGGTAACACTGCTGTTATTTACTGTGCTGCTGGCAGATTGTTGTTCTGTTTGGGAAATACAGATAAAAAAAAAAAAAAAAACCTAAAGAAAGCAGAATCCTTACTGACTTTCTTTATTGTGAGCGCTTCAGCTGGGTAAAAGTACATCTGACAGAGGCTGAGGGGGAAACTCCTGCCCTCAGCATTGCAGTCAGACCAAGCTTATTTACCTTACATCTGAAATAGGAAATCGTAACGCATCTTACCATTGCTTATGGTCATCAACTACAAGCTACAGATGCATCAAGACATTGACAAATCTGTTGCTGGATTAACTTAGACCAAATACCAGTTAATCAGACTCCAAAACCAGCCAAGCTGAGGAATAAAGAGCCGTGTTTTTAGAGACGCTTACCTAAAGTTAGATCCCAAACACTGGTTGATCGATTTAAAGCAAATCCACACTTCAAATAAACACTTTTTTCACAGTTGAACGGAGGGAAGTCAACTGCTGTAAGCTTATTACGACAAAATAAACTACAATCTCTTTATAAAGTTATTTTAATCTAACAGAAATGAACACTATCATCAATATATTCTTTATTAATAGCCTCTTAAATTGGATATTAATTCAGTTAATATCTAATATACCCCCCTAACGTTACACTGAGAAACACAGTAGGGCTGGATATCAATATATTCGATTCTGATTCTTATTTAATCTATTGTTCTTTTTTGATCTAATTCATTTCTAATCTATATTTTGGATAGCAGATGATGGTCATGAGTTAAGAATGATAATAGCACTCAGCACCAACAACAGACCCCACTGGTTTTCCTGTTGTGCCAGATAGGTGGCAACAATAAGGTGAATGCATATGCTTTGATAATCTGCAGCAGTATTTAGAGACAGTTTGAAGGCATCAGTCGTTAAAAAACATCCAAATGATTTTTTCTTAAACCTAAACCTCTTAGACCTTAAACCTATGAGTTTTATATCAGTTTAATTATTTTCTATATGGTCTTTTTTTCCCACCTTGGTTTTGAGACCCGCTGTTTATGTAGAAAGAAGGTCAGCAAGAAACTTAAACTTAATAAATGCAGACATCTCTTACCATTAGACATGATGGAGGATTTCATTTGACAGTAATTGAAATGCAGAGTTAGGGAACACAGAAATGCCTGTTTTGACTTTACATTGTTCCTGATGTTTAATGTTGTGTGTTGCAGCTCTGATGTTACTAGCTGAACAGTGACCACTGCCTGCCCAAGGACTCCTGCTTCCCAACTCCCCCTCATCATGTCTGGGATCCATGTAAGCCTCTCTTTCTCTTTTTTTTTTTAACAGCTTCCAACTATCTAATGGTGAATCAGAGCACTTTGAAAAGTGGCCTTAAAGTAGGTTTCTAGGCCTGTTTTAAGACACGGGTCAAAAGTCCGTGAACAGGATTACACGTAGAAACAATTTTATTTGTTAAAAAAAACCGGATGATTTAGTTCAACCTTTAAAGCATCTGACAAGATGACACATTTGGTTAAACCAAAGTTAAATAAGTCATCAGATGAGCGGAGGATGTGACCAACACTGACTGTTCATTAGACCAAATCCACACCATAGATCTGTGGAGATAGAAAAGCTTTTCTCTGCAGCAGTCACCCACATCTCTACTAAATAGGGTTAAGAATCATTTGAATTTCAAAGATTCAGGTGCTGATTCCTTGTTCTTCCGGTTTCTACTGGCTCTCTATTCTTATTCTTTTAAGACAAAAAGATCATAAAAGTCTACATGTTATAAATTAGTTGATTAATCAGAGCTCTGTCAGAATTAAAAGGTCTGAACTTCTCAATGAAGTTTAATTCTTGAACATCTTACTTTGTGTGTAAATCCCATTACTAAACATTGTTTCAACCAGTATATCCATATCAAACCTATGAACTCTAATATTATCTTGTTAATATTCTTTTCAAAAAGTTGCATTTTCACATGCAGATCTCTGTTTAAAAACCTATTACATATATCAGTGTCTGCCTCAGATATTTGTCGTATAAGATAACTTAATTATTTTATTTACCTGATTCTGAGTGTGGAAGCAGCGCAGCAGGAAGGAATCCTGACGGTTTATATTCTTAGAGATTTTTACTAAATCTCAGTTTCACAGATGTGGAAGTAGTGATGTTTTACAGTCATGGCAGATCGAGATTAAAGTGCTTTTCATTCTATGCAGAACACACAGGAAACAAGGTGGGCATCTGTTAAGATGTAAAGTAAGAAGAAGAAAGTATTAAGAAAAAAAGGCTCTGTTCTACCTTCAGAAGCTGCACTATGAATTTAAGGGAGGAGCAAATTCCTTGTTGAAACGTACCTTTACCACAGCGGTGCAGCAGGTTATAGATGGGTTAGGTGATGTTTAGGCCTGTTGGCTGTGTGTCGTCTTTTGCTTGTTATAATCCCAGGAAGCAGACGGGTCATTTTTTTATTAAACACTTTCAGATTCTGCAGCTGAAACGCACGTTTTAGCACACTTCGCTGTGGATTCCTTTTCCCTGATATAAGGCAGCTTCAGTTTCCAGTCAAGGGATCTGGCATCGAAACTAGGAGTCAAAAATAGGAAAATTTAATAATTCTGGTAAAAAGGAAAGATTAGAACAGGATCCAATCGATTCTCAGTGCCCAGCGCTAGCACTAAAACCTTCCTGTTCTCTAATTCCCAGCTTCTTTTTAGCTAAACTCATAGAAACCAAACAGCTGTTTTTATTATCAGACTCCTATCACAGATCACGTGTAATTCAGTGATGCCCAACATTTCAGTGTTTTTTAGGGGACATACCGATTATCTTTGACATACGTCTAACCGATCCCTGATATGTGCTGCCCATATTTTTTAGCCAATTCTGAGAACCAATATTACTTTTTCTTCTTGCATTTACATGATAAAACAGCACAGTGAATACAAATTTCACTAAAGTCTCAGTGTAGTAATAATATTGGATAACAGCTCAGTTTTTTAATATATTCTGACAATAGATTCTAACTTAGCATTAATCCCTGAGCTGATGTTACAGTGAAATTTAAGTAACTTTCAGAGTAGGGCTGCAACTAACGATTATTTTAAAAATTGATGAATCGGCCGATTATTTTTTCGATTAATCGATGAATCGGACAAAAAATATTTTTTATACTAACCTGTTTGTTCCACAATAAACATTTTAGACAGAACAAACAAGCACACAAGTACAGGTTGCTCATTAACTGTACTGGTGCAATATGAAAAATAAATGTTTG